GGAAGTGACAGGGAGCAAGGACTGGGGTGGGGAGACTCCAACACCCTCAGAGCAGTAACACAGACAGGGGGGCTGATGTGAAGAACATGCGAGAGGAGTCACCGCAGGAGAGCTCAAATAACAGCTGTGCCCACCTGCCCAGAAGAGGTGCACCCATGGAACACACACCTCTAATACTGCCTGGCTACTTCCTGGCACACAGAGGGGAAGCTGGCAAGGAACCAGCTACTCTGTTTCCCAGCTCAGTGCTCCCCTGCACTGACATGACACAGGAGACCAGCAACTCTTTCAACCTGTTGACTGTTTAGAGAAAAGTCTGCATATAATGCTCTGGGCTTGCCTGAAGCTCCAAGTGGCCAGAACGCTGTGCTGCTTTCTCTTCACAAAGAAAACAGCTGGAAGCTTTGAAGTTAGCAGTTTGGCTGCACCTGAGCCAGTATACAGTTGTTGAGACAGGTCACCGTGGCTCCTGCAAGTCCCAGGCCTAGGAAGCCCATTGGGGCCATCCACAAGAGGCTCACTAACGAGGCCAGCACACAATCCTCCATGTCAGTAATGTCCACAGCAAATCAGAACTGAGGGCGGCGCTTCCGACCGGTGTATTTTGTGTCTGCCCGCACTTCCCTGGGGAGAAAAGCAAAGAGCAGCTCAGTGTGATCCACAGGCCACTCTGGGACAGGAAGGGAAGGTAGATCATGGCAGAAGTCTAAGCGGGTGATAGCAAGCCAGGCCAGCAGTCAGCCTCAGCTGAAGCGGGACCCAGCTGAACTTACTTGCCCTGTCGTCGTCTGCGTTCTTTCTTCTCAAGAATCCAGTCCCGGCTTTTCTTCACAGACTTGCCCTTGGCATTTCTGAATCGTATCCTACAAAGAGAGCAAACAGAAGCTAGGGAGGAACTGGAGTGGGGGCACACCTCTGTGCTCTGGAGGATTCCCACTCAGAAACAGCAAGGTGTGGCCACACCGTCCAAGCCCAGGCACTGCTGCAGGAGGGAGGCTGCCACCAGCCCTGACTCTGAGCAAAGAGACACCTACCCTTCACAGCTGCAGCAGGCCAGCACTGCCCTCTGCTGTATCTGATACATGCTCCTTGTCTGCCCTACTCTGAATGCAGCAAAGGCCCCAGTTTCCCAACAGGCTGTCAGCTGTGCTACAGCCTTAATGACAAGATGCCCTCTGGACTGAGTGAGCAGAGCACCGCAGTGTAAGAGGCAGGAAAACATGACAGCCACCAGCTCCTGGCAGCCACGACGACTTTCCTCTGCTTTTTATTCTCTGTCTCTTCCCACTGGCTGCAAGAGGGACTCCTCCTTGCAGCGCTACCACGGGAGGAGACCTGGCCAGAAGGAAAAACCACCCAAGCAGCTGCTATGCAATCACAGCAGAAAAATTCACTGGGGAAAGAATGGAATGTAAGACTTCAGACATAGCCTTCCCACCAAAAAACAACCTCCTGAAAACAACCTCCCTCCCACCATCAACGGCCTATGCTCCAGCACTGAGTGCCGGACAGAAGTGCACCTCCAAGTAATTGCTCAGCTGCAGTTTCACAGTAAGCATCAAGGACAGCTCCCTGACAGCACTGCAAAGCTCTCTAGTCGAAGCAGCTTGTCCTGCCCATCCCTTCAGCACGACAGAGCAGTGCCCATCTGGGCTGCAGAGAGCCACCTTAGTGCCCCCATCCCCTCCCTCCAGCCGTTTTATGCATGGCAGCACCGCAGTCCTCAGCCAGCAAAACTGAGTTCTCACACCCTCTGACACCTGGGGACAACTCCACTAAGCAAACAATACCTCTCATTGGTGAATTTTGCCTGACGTATCTCTTCTCCATCAGCACACTCAGTACCAAGGCCCTGAAAAACAGAGACCTTTCATCTGGAGAAGACAGAGCCGATGGTCACTGCCATCCATTTATGGGGAGCAGTGCTTCGCCACGAGAAGGACTGTGGCAGAAGCAAGCTGATTTCCCAGAAATTGAGGCAAAGAAACACATAAGCTGTATCTGCATACATGGGGCTGCCCCCGGCCCACAGCTCTTCCACATCAGCCGGCAGCCATTTCTGCTGCTTGGCTGAGTTCCTTACCTTTGGTAACGTGCCAGATGTCCCAACAAAGAGACAGAGGAAGAACCTGAAAGAACAAGAGGAGCGTGAAGCGAGGAGTCACCGCGCGATTCCCAGTTCTGAAGCAAGACTGTCAGCTTTTACAATACAGTCAGATCCAAGCTGTCATCTCTGCCCAGGACTGTATCCTGGGAGAAAGGAGCACAGCTTACAATAACAGCTGCTGAAGCTATGCTTCACCCCACACATGCCCATACACAAAGACACAGGACTCACTTCTTAGCTTTGGTGCTGTTGGGGTAATCTACGACCATGCCACCAGTGAAGCCAGCTCTCATGGCTTGGGCAGTGATGAGCTCCAGCTGAAAAAGGAGCACGAACGAAAGACATTTATTTCGCACTCACCGCCCTGCGTGGCCTGCGTGGCCTGTGTGTGCCAAAGACAAGTCAACCCTGCTCCTGTTAAACCCTGTCCCAAGCCCTCAGCTCTGCGTTAGGATCCAGACAAAAGTCTGCAGCATTTCCTTAGTTCTCCCTGCTCCTCTGCCTACCCTGGGTTAACTGGAAGAGCAGATTCTCAGAGGGGGATACAGGGAAGGATTTTCCAGCCTTAGGAAATTAACTACAGCACTGATGACTACAACAGCCCAGTCTTCAAACCCATCACACAAAGGAACACGCTGCACAGCAGCTGTAGATCACATCCTGCCAATTCCTTGGATTTTAAGGCTCAGCCCAAGACCAACTGTGAACAGGGGAAAAGACATAGGGCATTCTCCTAACTGTTGGTTGTTTTTTTTTTTTCTTTTTTTTTCCCCCCTCTAGTTCTTGCAGAGCTTTACAGGTGGGAGGAAGGACACAAAGACCCAATGCAGGAAAACATAATGCATCCTGAGCCTTAAACATGCATGTCACTTCACTGCTGTACCTGTTCTGAGTTCTCAGGGTACAGCTGCAGTACGGCTCGGGATCCTCGGGCCTGTGGGAAACAAGGTAAGTCACAAGCATGGCTTAGAGCAGGCTTCCCCTCTTACTGCCCAGTCCACAACCCTCAGGAAGCCTCCTGGAGAACTTTCCCAGGAGAGCAGCTCAGATGGCAGAGCCAGAGTCACCAGAGCACAACAAGGCACAGGGCTAGCAGCAGGAACTGCAGAAACACAGGCACTGTGCAGACAGGGAAGCAGTCAAGGAATGGGTGCTGCAGCTAATCCTACATTTCAGTTACTCAAAGTCTTGCTACAAGGCAGAGGTGGGGATATCAAAATAGGCAGAGGGCTGACTGAGAGAGCATGACACTTACCAAGGCAGTATAAAGAGTTGAAAAGAACCGATAAAGGCGTTTTGGAGGACTGTGTGACTTCTTGTCAGCGTTACAAAGCCACTGCACTGCAGAGATACTGCAAAAGAAATCAAGACCCGCAGGACACTGAACCATCAATTCCTCAGCAGCGCCTCCCACCTACCTTTGAGCATTCTTTTAGTACTGAGCGTGTGCTTGGCTTCAGAGAAAATTATTCATTTTTCTCCATATAGCCTTACCTTACTTTGTGGTAAAGCCACTATAGAGACTCACTATGTCATGCTACGAGCAACCTGGTGCAGCAGTTACTCAAGCAACAGAAATACCATACCTCTCCTTTAGGAGAGTGTTCAGGTGCTTGGTTGTGGCCCTAACAAAGTCCATAAGTAGCCACACAGGTTTTGCCAGAGTGACCCCAAAGAGAGCACGACGTTTGGTGACAGAGAGCCCCTGCTCGCTGTACCAGTACCTTTAAGAAGCATTCTCTAACAAAAGTGTTTATTTCCTCCAGGCCTTCGCCCCCAAACCAACCATCAAACCTCTTCTCAGCTGTGAGGCCAGTCCCTCGATCCGAAATGCTTTGGTGCACATCTCAACTCACCTGAAAGTACATCACCTGTAATTTACTTAGTCCAAATATCCTGCTGATTCACTGCCACAAAAACAGTCAGACAGCCCACAGCGCTGCACGTGCCAGCAGAGCGAGGAGAGTCGCAGTGCTCTCTCACACAAGACGAGCACACTGTGCACACTGCAGAGGGCTCGTTCAGGTGCTCAGACTCACCTGATACAGCCATCAAACGTGCCAGGCCTGAAGGGAATGCCATCGCCCATATCCGCGAGGAGCAGATCTCCTTCGACCTCCCTCTCCACAGCCACATCTGTGCAGGGAGCGCAGCGCTCAGCGCACGCCCGCGGCACTCCCTGCAAAGGGGTGCGGAGGGACGCTCACCCAGCATGGCGCGGCTGATGTCCACCCCGATCCAGAAGTGCCCCTCCTCGGAGATGTGCTCCCCGCTCAGTCCGGAGCCGCAGCTGCAGACGGGAAGGGGACAACGGCGGCTCACGGCGCCCTCCCGGGACGGCCCCGCCCCGCCCCCCCGCTGCGCGCCGCTCACCCCACGTCCAGGAGGAGGCACGGCCGTCCCTCGGGCAGCGCCAGCAGCTCCACGGCCCGCGCCGCCATCTGCGCCTGGATCTCGGCCACGCGGGAGCTGCGGGGCGAAAGACGGCGGGTGGGCGGAGGCACTGCGGCACACGCGGACTCCCCGCCCAAGCCCCCGGTCCCACCGCCCGCCGTACTTCTGAGTGTACTTCCGTGCCTCCGTCTCATCGTAGAACTGCAACAGCAGAATGGAAAGGGGGGGGAGTGGGATGTGAGCCCGGGCCCGGCCCGGTTTGCCCGCACGGCCCGGCCCACCCCGCCCGCACCAGTTCGGGAGGCCCGCGGTGCTCCGGCCGCCGCCCGCCGCTCGCCATGCTGCTTGATGATGTCACCGCACGGCGCCGCGCGTCTCTGCGTCGCGCCAGAGTGACGTCGCGCCAGAGTGACGTCGCGCCAGAGTGACGTCGCGCCAGAGTGACGTCGCGCCAGAGTGACGTCGCGCCAGAGTGACGTCGCGCCAGAGTGACGTCGCGCCAGAGTGACGTCGCGCCTCGGGCAAGATGGCGGCGCGCGGGCGCTGAGCGATGGGTCCGTTGCCGCTGGGCCTGCGGCGCCTCCTGCTCCCGGGACCGGGGCTGGGGCTGGGCGCGGCCCCGCGCTGCGGCGGGAGCTCGGGGAGCGGCAAGGCGCCGCGCCGCACGCTGTATGAGGTGCTGGACGTCCCGCCCACCGCCACGCCGGCTCAGATCAAGGCGGCGTACTACCGGCAGTCCTTCCGCTTCCATCCGGACCGCAACGCGGGCAGCGCGGCCGCCGCCGAGCGCTTTGCCGCCGTCAGCGAGGCCTACCGCGTGCTGGGCAGCGCCGCGCTGCGCCGCAAGTACGACCTCGGCGCCCTCAGCCGCGACGACGTGCGCGGCGCCCCCCGGCCCTCGAGCCGCGCTCCCGCCGCTCCGTCCCCCGCCCGCGCCGCCGCCGCCCGCCGCGGCCCCGTGCCGCCGCCCTTCGACTTCGACGCCTTCTACCGCGCGCACTACGGCGAGCAGCTGGAGCGGGAGCGGGCGCTGCGGGCGCGGCGGGAGCGGCTGCGCCTCTGCCGGGAAGAGGCCGCGGCCCAGGGCCGCCTACGGTTCCTGACGGACCTCACGGTTGGGCTGGTCTTCGTGCTGGGCTTCGCGATGCTCTACGGCCTCAAGTAGCTGCGGGCCGGCGCGGTGCTGGCAGCCCTCTGGCTGTGTGGGACCTGTGTGGGGGCTCGGCATTGCTTCTATAGCTGTACGGCCCCACACTGCCACCACATGCCTCGTTTGCCAGCAGACCCCACGCGAGGCGCCCGGCGGGGACACGGACCTTTGTGGCCCCTGACATCTACTCCACTGGCACTGTGCTGTGACCCCGGTGGGAACCACATCTCTGTTCTGCTGAGCCACGGTAGAGATTAAATAATTGCCAGCGGTGTCTGTGTGCTGCATGCATTCCTGGAGATGCTGTCACTGATGTCAAGTAACTTCTCTCTGTGGGTTCCATAATCCCAAGTCGCTGCCTTTGTGCTGTCACACTTGGTACATTTATTGAGCGCTGGTCTCCAGCCTGCACTGTGACCCTGTGTTTCTCTGCTTGGGGCCTGCCTCACTGTGCTGAGCGCAGAGCTCTCGGTTTCGGCAGCCTGAAGGAATGGAACGTGGGCCTCTGGTTGCCTGTGTCCCGGTCAGCGTGTGCCATCACCCGGAGGTGCTGCCCCAAACACCTGGCTGTGCATGGCAGCCCGCCTTGGTGAGGGCTTGCTAGGAGCTTTGCTGTCCGTACGGCCGTTGGGCTGGGAGCAGTACGCTTTTGTCAGTGGCATTATTTGTGTTTGACATGTCTGTGAGCACTTTTTGCACATAGGAGTATTTCCTAGTTAAGTACTGAAGTGATTCAGGAACTGAAGATTGTCTCTAAGAGTGCCTGTCTTTCCTTGGGTGAAGGTTTTACCTACATGGTACTGCTGGCAGAGAGCGAAGCTTGCTGGAACACTGTGTTGCAACACCCGGAGTGCCAAGGACGACGTCTGCAGTACTTTGCGCTGTTTGCTGGGCTGGACTGTGCCAAAGCCGTGCTGTCCCCTCACTGCTGTGACGCAGGGTTGTGATTTCTCCCATTACAAACAAAAGCAAACACCTCGTGTTTTTCAGCGATGGAGTTCTGTGATTAGAGTTGTGATACTGTTGATACTGTGCTGATACTCTGTGATACTGAGCTGAGCCCGAGGCAGCGGCAGGGCAGAGTGCAGTGTACTGGTAGGTGGTACGTGCTGCTACAGGAGAGTCTCCTGTCTCTTCTGGAAAGAACTGTACCACTCTTAACTGCAGAGGCTGCTGTGTGTTTGGTCAAATTCAGCGCAGGAAAAGAGAGCTTTCCAGGATCCTCTGTTGTTGTGATTATAGTCCTGAAACATTAGCATGTGGAGAGCAGGGGGAGCCTGGCATTCAAGGGCACTGGTTGTAGAGTGGAAGCGTCTAAAGCTGTTGCTCTGTGCCAGCACAGCCATGCACTTCTGTGCAGTGAGCCTCATCCCCTACTGCCCCCAGAGGCGACTTCGCAGGAAGAGCTTGGCCAGCAGCAATTCTCTCACAGGCTGGAAGAGCTCTGCACAGCCATGGAAGCAGCGGGTGCTACAAGGAGCATCTCTTTGGTTCCTGGTGTAGTGATTTGCCAGTTTTTAAGGCTGTCCTGCCAAACGCACATTGTCTTTGGGTTGGTCCCTTCGTGTATGGTGCTCGGGCTTCCAGGCAGGGAGTGGGTTGGGTGTAGTGCAGCATGGAGCAGGAGGAGCTGAGCGCTGTGCTGCTGGCACTGCTCTGGTCCCTGGCACTGGACAGGGAAGCACTCCTGTGAGACGTCTGGCTCTCCTGATCTGTGCTTGTGTCTGAAATCAAGGCACTAAAGCTGGGCTCATCAATGTGCCTTACCGTGGTGGTGAGGGCAGTTCATATTGCTGGTTCTTCCTGTTCCTCTTCAGGTCTCCGTGACACATCCTGAACATTAAAATTATCCATCCATAAACTAATGATGAACTGACGTGTCTTTCTTTTGACAGGCTTGAGAAGTAAATATTCTTTGTACTTGCTGGAAAGTGGGAGGTGGGAGGGTGTTCACTCAGTGACCACAGTAGCCTGAAAATGATGCTTGTGAGGAGGTGCCTTTTTTACCCTGAGACCTGTTGGAGGGGCAGCTTGCAGTCACTGGGAGTGGGTGGGATGGCTTCTGCAGGCAGACTTCACTCCTGCTGCTACAAACAGTGCTGCCTCTGATGTGCTTGGGCTGAGCTGTGACGTATCTGCTGGGTTCACTGCTTTGGAAGAGGTGAGTAAATGCTCAGCTTTGCTGCTGGGTTTGTTTGGAGGAGGGGAAGCCTGGTATGCAGAGTATGGGGGGATTTTCTTCCCATTAGCTGCCATAGTGCTATTTTTGCACTTTGTATACAGTATGCACGCCCATTACAACCAGACACTGTAACACCCCAAAAGTAACATCCCTGTGTCTGGGATGTTACCAGCACCATACCTGCTAATAGGAAGAAAAGCATCACAGAATGGCCTGGCTTGGAAAGGCCCACAGCGCTCATCCAGCTCCAACCCCCTGCTGTGTGCAGGTCGCCAGCCAGCAGCCCAGGCTGCCCAGAGCCACGTCCAGCCTGGCCTGAATGCCTGCAGGGATGGGGCATCCACAGCCTCCTTGGGCAGCCTGTTCCAGTGAAGTAGCTCTATTCCAGCCAAAAGCTGGACATTGGTTTCTCCAGTTTGTCACCTCTGTTTCTTGGGCAGAATGGCCAGCTGCTGCAAGACAGAAGTCAGGAAATCAGGTGCCTAGAGGTTGGAGGTCATCCGGATTCACAGACCAGCAGCCATTTTCCAGCACCTGAGGTTTCTAGCCTCCCATTGCATTGTGTCCATGCTGTCATCATGTTCAATATTTATTCTCATTCCCCAGTTGTTTTCCCTGATGGAGAGCTGCCAGGAGCACACGGCTTTCCTTTAGCCAGGTGAGCACACTCTTTGTGAGCTACCTGTGCCACGAGTGCCAGAGAACATCTGGCAGGATTGAGCTGTGACAGCTGCAGTGTCACAGCAGGGACCGTGTAAGTTGTAAAAGCCCACGGGGATCAGCAGCTCATGGAGAAAAAAGGGAAAGAGGACAAAAGCAAAGCTTAGCTGTTGCGATGCTGAATCAAATGAAAGCTCCCTGCAAAGTGAAACGGGTCTGCACAGAGCCTGCCAGCCCTTGGAAGTCAGGCACAGTCCACAGGTTGGTGCTGCAGCAGCAGTGCTGTGATTGCTGCCTTCCTGCTGCTACTTGGGAGCTGCAGGCGCTGCCCCCATACCTGCAGCCATGGCTGCCCTGCAGCCTGAGGGGGCACAGGAGCTCATGAGCTGCCTGCAAAGGCCACATGCTTGTTGCTGCGCTGGCTGCCCTCCCCCAGGCCAGTCATGGGCTGCTCTCCCTGGCTGTGAGTGGAGTGGTGTGTGGGCATAGGGGTTCCGTGCCTCAGGGCCTCTTCAGCCATCTGGAGAAGCCAGGAAGGACCTGGTGCGTGGCAGGCCTGTGGGCAGGACCAAGGGAGCTGCAGACTGGGCAAGCAGGGGTCCTGAGCAGCAGCAAGGGGACTGTGGGATCCTGGGACAGCCCCAGACCTGCTTTGCCCTGGGGTCCGTGGGCAGAGCAGTGCCCCCAGCCCTGCTGCAGTGGGTCCTGGTGCAAAGTCCCAAGGCAGAGCTGCACGATTGGCAGCAACTGCTCCCCTCCCATTCAAGCATGCCCTGCAGTGCACCTCTGTTAATAGAGTTCCCCATTAACAGCCTTGCTGCTAGCTCTGCACTGCCACACAGGGAGACCCAGGGGGAATACTGTACCACGTCACCACTGCTGTTGGCAGCCCCACCCCAGGGATTTTATCCCCTGCAGAGCAGCCTTGTGGCGTGCAGGGTGTCCAGGCACCTGCCTGCACTGGGGCACTCCTGCCTGCCCACGGCTACTGCTGGCCCACCAAGCCCAAATGCGCCAGGCTGGGGCAGCCAGCTCCACCCAGTGTGGTTGTGCAGTCCCACCACTCATGAGCCAGGCAGGGACCCAGAGGGGCTGCAGGACCCACAGAGAAAAATCAGTTAAGGCTGCTGCAGTGTGGCACAGGATCGCGCCTCGCTGTGGGTTTGTGTTTCTGACTGCCTTCATGGGCTTGGGAGAGGCTGTTGCTCGCCTAAAGGAACTCATGCTTCTCGGGTCAGAGGGGTCCTGGAGCTGATGCTGAGCCCGGGAGCACTTGGCCCTGGCAGCCCAGTGGGAGGCGCCAGGCACACCGGCAGCTGTGCTGTGTTCTGGATGCTGTGACTCCTCCGAGACAGCCACACGTACTCCAGTGCCAGTCCCAGTCCCAGTGCTGCTTCAGGTCTTGTCTTGCAGGGAACTGGCACATCTCCACACCACTGCCAGCGTTCAGCCCATGCAAGTGCTCCGCCTGAGCCATGTGCTGTGTTGGCCTTTCTCTCCCAAACGTGAGTAGCCAGATCCCCAAGGAAAAGCCTTGTGCTCACCCCCAGACCCCACACACTGAGCCCTCGTGGCTCAGCACATGGCACTCTGTGTGTGCAGCAGCACTCATCACACTGCTCTCTCAACTCTGCCTTGAGCCTCAGGGCTCTGGGGCATCACAGCAAAGCCCACCAGCACAGCCCTGAGATGGGTGACATAGAGCTTCTCCAGGGAGAGGACCTGTACAGCATGATCCCTGTGGCTGGCCCTTTATCCTCGTCTTAAAGCCATGTTTTAACAAACCAAAGGGCAGAATCAGCAGCATGGGAGTGGGGAGGAGTGCCACAGGGCAGTGGCTGAAAGATGCAGAGCTTCCCCACTGCCTCCCGCCTGCATCTCCTGAGACTCCATCCCCCCTGAGACTGAGGACCACAGCAGAGCAGTGTGGGACAACACGGGGTATGTCCAGAGCTCAGCTCAGCGCTCTGTGGCCTTTTCCAGGGTCAGGAGGGCAATGGGCACTGAGAGCACTGCAGGGTGCACCCAGGCTGTGCTTACCTCCCGTGAGTGTTGGGAGCAAAGGGGAGCTGCTTGGCACAAGGCCCCCACACGGCCCCAAACCGTTGCCATGTGTGGGGCTGAGCTGGGGGGCCACACTTGGCGCCTGGCCGGGGGGGAACTGCACTCCTCGTGCTCACGGGCTCTGTGTCCACCCTGGAGCAGCCATTGCCACCCCCGGGCGCAGCCCAGCCCAGGGGTCTCTCCAAGCCAGGGAACCGCCTCTCCCTGCCCCATCCCCCCGCTCACAGCCGGACCCACGCGGTGCGGAACAAGCCTTTATTTGGGGAGCGCATAGCGGGCCGTGCTGCCGGACCTCCTTCCCCACTGCCTCCAACCTCCCGGGCCCACCGACGCACGCTCTGCCCCCCTCCCGCAGCGGATGCAGCCGTTTCTTCCCCGCACGCAGCGGCTTCCGGAGTTCCGCGCCCGCCGTTCTCCGGTCCCGCACCTCTACGGCTGCAGCGGCTCCGGCTCCCGGCGGCGGAAGGGCCGGGGGCTGAGCGGGGTCGCGTGCGGAGCAGGGTGCGGGGCGACCGGCGGCTGTCCCAAGGCCGGGAGACGGTGCTTGGGCGGCACGGCGAAGGGTACAACGGCCGCCGCGGGGACAAGGACGGCGGGCACGAAGCCGCAGCGCAGCTCCAGGGCTTTAGGGGAGGCCGCGCCGCGGTCCGGTGCAGGGTTGAGCCCCGGGGTCTCCCCCGCAGGGTCCCGGCCCATCTGCAGCAGCTCCTGTAGCTTCTCCAGCTGCGTCCGAGAGACGTGGGAGCTCGCGCGGCTCCGGCAGAAGGACTCCAGGAAGGCATCGAGGGGCACCTCGTGCGCCAGGAACCTCTGCATCTGCGCCTGCGGGACGGGCGGAGCGTTGTACAGGCGAGGTCCCCCCAAAACCCCGAGCCCCGCGCCGTCCCTCGGTGCCCGCATACGGCAGGGCACAACGCGGGGCTCTCACCCGCCTCCGCTTCACACCCGCTCACCTCCGCCTCCGCTTCGGACGAGTCCAGCGCGGCTCGGAGCCGATCCAGGGCGCGCTGCGGGCCGCACTCCTCCAGGTACGCCTCTGTGCGGGGACAGCGCGGCGCTGCCGGGAACCTCCCCTCCCGGGGTCCCCCCTTCCGGCACGACGGGCGCTCCCCCCGCCGGGAAGCCCCGCACCCATCGCTCCGCACTCACCCAGGCGCCGCAACTTGGCCCGGCACGCCTCGCGCACCTCGCGCAACTCCTGGTATTTGATGGCCAGGGCCGCCTTCCCGTCCTCCAGCCGCGGCCGCAGCGCCAGGTTGTCCCGGGCCAGCGCGCTGTTGGCCGCCAGCCGCTCCTCCCGCTCCCGCTGCAGCGCCTGGAACTGCGGCGGGCGGTGAGCGGCGCGGAGCGCGAAGCGCGCACCGCACCGCATCGCACCGCACCGCACCGCATCGCACCGCACCGCATCGCACCGCACCGCACCGCACCGCACCGCACCGCACCGCACCGCATCGCACCGCACCGCATCGCACCGCACCGCATCGCATCGCATCGCACCGCATCGCACCGCATCGCATCGCATCGCACCGCATCGCACCGCATCGCACCTCACCGCATCCCGGCCCGGCCCTACCTTCCTGCTGAGGCGGACGGCGCGCTGCAGCCGGGGCTCGTCCTGCAGCAGCGCCCGCAGCTGCCCCGTGCTCAGCGCCCCGAAGCAGCGCGGGGCCCCGGGAGGCGCCGGGGGCCGGGCCATGGGCCGGGCACGGCCGGAGCCCCCCCGCCGCCGCCGCCAGCACCGGGAGCCGCAACCCCACGCCCGGCCCCGCCGCGCCGCCCCGCCCCGCAGCCTTAAAGGGGCCGCCGGCGTGCGCGGGGCCGTCCTCGGCTGTGCTCGTTCTGCACCGCACCCTCTGCGTGCATCCTGCATCGAGCCTACACTGCGTCCTGCACTGCACCTGCTGTGTGCGTCTGCACCTGCTGTGTGCAACCTGCGCTGCTCCCACTGTGTGCAGGCTG